CTAGCCACTGTATACTCGGAAATGCAATGTTGCCACTTTTTCTCATTAAACCATGTTCGAATCGTGGAAATTTTGGAAGATCACAGTTTTGCTTTTAGCATTTAGATTCTTAATGCAAAAATGGAGTTGCATTTAGTTGCATTTAGGTGACGAATTTTGTATGGATAAATGCACATTTAGAGTAGCATTTAGAGCTAAATGTGTTTTTACGCGTAAGCAAAAACAGCCCATAAAAGTACGACAATGTCGTTGTGTAATCGTTGGGCACGCATTGTTTGTTAACATTTTATGGGGAAAAATGAGTGAAATAGTTAATATTTGCATTAAAATTGCAAAAAAAATTAGTATTTTTTACATAAAATCTGTGAAAATTATTAAAAAGTGGATAATTGCATTAAAATTCAATAAATGTATAAAATATGACGAAATTGGAAAAAGTCTCTGTGTGCATGCACAAAACACATTTCAGGAAAGGAAAAGAAGAGATATTACTGAAAAATTATGTCTAGTATTGTTGCAGCACAGTCTATATTTTAAAAATTGCAGGCTTTTGTAAATATTTCGCGAAAATATCAACCAGAAAAACAGAAAATACCTGCTCCAAGTGAATTTTTAGAGGCCAAATGAATTGAAATATCACGACCGAGTGTGCGAAAGTGTAGTCGTCTTGTAATCGTTGCATCATGATTGTGACGATGAAGCAATTATGACTGGACGACCAATGTGCAGAAAGCCTAATTGTTGCTTATAAATTTTCAAAAATGATATATTTTGTTTAAATTTCGTGACATAATTTTTCTATTTGTTTACAGCCAAGAAACCTAAAAACGTCAAACACCGATAATAGAAATGCTTTACTTCAGACATAGTCTTATGGTTTGAAGCAAGAACGATAGAATACAAGATTGCGCATTCCCGCAGAATGACATTTGTGGCAACGGGTAAACAAAGAATATGGCGAAGAACAATGAGTTGACAGTTGTGAATTTGCAGTGAGAAAACGTGTTTTCTTCTCGATTCACCAATTTCTCAAGCCATCTTTGAATATAGCAAATTAAGCACTACAAAAAATATAGTTAACAAAAAATATACAACCACTCTTGAAATGTGTTCAAAAGAATAGGTCTTATTAATTAACTATTTAGAATTTTTGTGTTTGTATTGCAGGTGCCGAAAAAGTGATAATATCTTGTCGCAGCGCATGTTTTCCTGCAGAAAGTGGTCGATGCTTGCTTACCTCCGATTTTAGTTTATAATTTGTTGTATTTCAACGTTTTCAACTTAAATGTCGTGTTTAAAAGTGGTCCGTAAAGTGCTTCATGCATACTACGCTGGTGTCTAAATTTTATGGCTTCTCCTGCCGGCAGAACTCTATCCACTTTCTGGCCAAGGCGTCGTCGCGGGGAAACAAAAAAAAA